CAGAGTAGAGTACTTGCACACCTTTAATAATTCCCACCTGAGATTGTATAATCGCTATTGCTTGCGAAAAGTGCATGCCCAAGACAAATTCCCAAGCATCACACCCAAGCGACAACTCTGGTACGATTTCCAAATCCAACATTTTAAGACTGCAGGTGTTGGAACTTTGCAATGGTGCACACTAATTTGTTGTCTAAAGTCCTGGATTTGGCAAATGAGATCAATACAGTTGAAAATTTGTATGGTCCCCGACACTGGCACGCCTAAAAGTTTTTCATTTACTTTGTGTCCAAAAGAAGCTCCTTTGCCCCTGAACTTCGTTTCTTCAAACCAATTTTTAATTTATTTTTTTTTTTTTTTGTTACTTTGTGCGTTTGTGTATCGTTTATAATTTCTCGCGTCGCAAACTGAAACGCAAAATATATTTTAGAAAATCCCTTCGATAGAAATGAAAGTCAGATGTTTGGGTCTTACTTGTACACTGTTATCAGTAATATGGTTTGATTATAAAAATAAAACTCTTTGAATCAAGGTAAATAAAAGTAAAAATAAATTCAGTTTCTCGATTCGACGTAATACACACAAATCCACACAAAGCACCCAGCAAAAAAGTTTTGTGATTAAAGTGAAAACAAAGACAACAGCTGAGTAGAACATGGTTGCATTCTCATCAAAAAATTAATGACACGACATTTAATTTATAAACATTTTATATGTCCCGGTTGATATCAGTTTAATGTTTTATTCATCAGGCTATATAATTTTAATTGTCTCGACAAGAACGCATTTTTAAAGAAATTTTTAAATTAATTTAATGGCGCGGTAAAATGAAAACTGAGTTCTCAAACTATGAAATGACAGCTGATGTTAAGACGGCGATGGTAAGAAATTCGGCAAGATAGATATGGCTTAGCAGTGAAAAATTACGGCCTTCACCTCACATTTCTGCCTGCAGAAGGTGGAGACGTGAGGTAGGCGTTACTTGCTGTCTCCATAATGGGGAATTTTCATGGGGCGATTTTTCAGGCAACTTTTACTTGAAAGCAACAATTGTCTGGTGTAAACGGTCTTTCAACTAATCGGTTTCAATGAAATTGGTCGGCTGCCTACTTTCGTTCAACTTTTGATTGAACAAATCGCCCGTGAAAGTTGAATCATGTAAATTCCCCATTATGGAGCATACCGCACTAAGGACCAGTTTTTCAGTGCACGGCCGTGGTTTGAACTCGACGAGTATGGTCGTGTTGACCTGTCGAGTTTTTATAAAGCAAATATTAGATTAATATACACACCAAAATGACGTCGTTTCATTTAAAAGAACATACAACTTTAAATTAAGCTTCATTAAATATAACTGAAAGTTTTGAATCAATGGGAGATAATACTATTAAATAAAAATTACATAGGTAATGTAATACACGTGGACATAAAGAAATAAAATTGCGATTAAATGGAAATTTTAAAGCGTACCGTTGAAACCATGATAAAAATATAGTAAGGTAGAAACGCTGAGAGTTACGTTTAAAACTCTTGACGTTTCCAAACAATTTAATTTTTAAATTTACTCACAGACTCACATACACATTTTCATTTTCAATCTCAAGCAAAAACAATTTCGAACAATTTCAATTTTTTATTTTCAATTTTATATGATTTTAAAATGCTGGCAACAAAATCATGGCCGACAAATTGAGAGAACGGTTCTACCTTGCAATGTTTTTATCATGGTTGAAACGGTACTATCGTATGAACAATTTAACTGTATGAACAAGTGAACTAAGAAAAATTTATTACCATAACAGTTTTATGAAGCGAAACAAGAAACATATTTTAAAAAAATAAATTTTTAACATTGTTGTGAGTGTGAAAATGTATCGATTTTTCGTTACATTTTGGAAAAATTACATTTTTATTAAATAATCTCATCTTTGTGAAGACGGCCGGTTAGTGCGGTCGTGCCTTAAGTGTACAGGAATACCTCTACTAACAACTTTATAAATGAAACTAGATGGCAGCACAGACAGCGTTCTTTTTGGCGCGACATTTTTTTCTATTTTCACATACTTTGGAACAATGTGCAATGGTAATACTCACGATGTTAGCTGAAGTAAACCCCAATATTTTTACCCGATTCTTATCTAATCTCGCCCGATTTAACTTAGCTAATTTTAATGAAACACAAATCGAAATATAAATTTTACTAGCAAAAATGAGGGAGCCTCGCGAAGCAACACCGGACACTTGTGAAAACAAACAAAATTGACAAACAGGGTTGCACGAACTATTTGGTAGCATTGATATATGAAATGAATACTCATGAAACGAACTATGAGAGTTGATTTCATTTGATATAAATGTGTCAACACAAAACGCATAATAATTTAGTTAACGCAAATTAATGAAGCTTAGTCAATTTTCCATAAACTCCTTTTGTTTTAATTCAAAATCGTACTCTTAATTGAATAACAAAGAAGTTTTTGAAATCTCTTCCCCAACTGAACTCACCTTTTCACATTTCCCCACACAAGATAATTGAACACACCCAAACTGCCATATTTTCCACCTTCACAATTTGTTCATAAAAACGCCGAGTTTTGCATAGTTTTTAAGCTTTCCCTGCAGAAAAGTGAAAAAAATTGGAATAATATTATGTCTAGACAAGCTTCACGTTTCGATGCTAAAAAAGTGGTAAGTTTCTGATGTGCCACAATTGTTATATACTGATAGCGGGTAGTCACTGTCGAAGGTTCGCTTAATTTCCATTCGATTTTGCAGTAATTAAATGAGAAGCCAAAATTGATTTTACGTCCCAAGCTAGCAATAAAGTTGCATGGATATAAATAACATCTCGTCTATCATTAAACAACAGAAGCCCACTGGAGCTGTCACTGTTGTCACTCAAAACAAGAAAAACTTGCAAGACCAGCAAAAAATACAATTGATCCCTATGATGACCGCAGGTGGGACGCAAATTATTATCGGGCAATTGCCACAACAGCAGCCACAGGCTACAGGAACGTCCCAAGCCACGACAACCGGACTTATACCCCTTCAGGCAAATCAAATTATGTTGCAACAGCCCCAACAAACAGCACAGCCAATGCAGCTACTTCAATTGCCAGATGGTCAAACACTATTTTATCAACCAGCAGCAACATCATTGACCCTTGATCCAAATGCGACAACTGCACAAGCTACGCCACAGCCGCAACTTATTAACATAAACGGCCAATTAATGCAAATAGCGACAACTCACCCGCAGGGCACTGCCAATAATAATACTGTAGGCCAGCAAATTATTATGGTCCCACAAGCTGGTACCACAACTGTGACTGTTCCGCAAACTGCCACATCGGTATCAGCACAGCAAACAACTTCTGCCTCTGCCGCAAATACCAATACAAATGATGTGCAAGCGGAAGATGACTCTAGTAAGGGAGAATCTGAAGAGGAGCCTCTTTATGTTAACGCAAAACAGTACAAACGGATACTGATAAGGCGACAAGCTCGAGCTAAACTTGAATCTCGTATACCGAAGGAACGCTCTAAATATTTGCACGAATCGCGTCACCGTCATGCAATGAATCGCGTACGAGGCGAGGGTGGACGATTCCATTCGGCCCAAATAAAGAGTGACTTAGGTGGATCTGGTTCTGGTAATTGCGAATCACAAATGCAATCTGTGCCGACACGTGCAACTATACGTGCCCCACCAAAGTTAATCGCACCACATCAAACTCCAATTCCAGCACCTACCCCTAGTATAACCATCACTCCAATAAAGTAAAAACATGGGCAGCACAAAACCAATTATACCAGTTAAAAAACTTTAGTTTTAGAAATACATATATTGAGATTAG